AATAATGTGATGGAATGAAGGATAAATCCAAAAAAGTAGGTGTAATAGTGTATTATTTTTAAAATTATTGAGGGTATGATGGGAAGATTTAGAAATGGGAAGATATTAGTGTTACGTCCAAAAAAGGAAAGTGGAAAGATATTAATATTACGAAAAGTAGTAATAAATTAATTTAAATCAAATATCCAAAGTACACACTTCATTCGGCGAAGAAGCCAAAGAAGGGCTGCAAGCTTTCTGCACAATGAAGAAATAGTCACAATTCACAAAACACATAGGAGAAGAACAACCGAAACAAAATTGCAAATCGTTCTCCTATCAAAGCTTATTTATTCATAAACGGCTAAAGGTTTTTTTTACATTTACAGTTTGGTTTTGGAGGAAACGTAAATTAAAAATATTGGGGGAAAGGATAGCTTTGAGGGGCAATCCCTTGCTTTCAAAGTCCTAATACAGTAAATCAAAACCCCCAACATTGTAGCAAAAGCCGTTCGCAGTTCTACCGATCTCATCTCGTGCAAATAGATCTGGAATGAAAAAATTGTCCCTCTACTCCATTTAGACTTGATGGTGAGGAAGAAATGACAGCGACCAAGGGTAAGAGCATTTGGACTTGGTAGTGACGAAAAAGTGTAATCGAGAGAAGGGTTGTGGAAAGGGAAGAAACCTGATTTCGTTAGCTTCTTCTTCGGCAAAGTTCAGATACGGGTGTGAGTAGAAGTTCAAAGGACAGGTTCTACGAGAATCGATTGAGCACCGTTCAGTAACGGCCTTTTTGGATTGAGGGTTAGCGGTGTTAGTAATGGAAGTGTTAGTAAGTGTTAGTAACGGCCCGGAAAGGAAGGTAAGTGTAAGCGTTAAACATAACCTTACCTTGTTTGGGAGAGCTAAAAAATAAAAGTGTTAGTAATGGAAGTGTTTTCACATAAATTGACAAAAATATCCTCAAGTGTTAATATTAGCTATAAGTCTATATAATAATACATTCTCCACGTAAATGCTCAAAAATTGCAAGTGTTCTAACTCTAATCAATCAAATCAAATTGTAGTTGTTGTTCAACTTGAAAAACTTTCCATGTCAAATGGTAAAAATAAAATAAAAAAGAAAGTGCTAAAAATATATTTTATGCAATATGCTAAAATTAAAATATTCTACATATGATATATGTACATATCCCACGTAAAGTGCTAAAAAATGTGGATCAACACTACACATTAAACTAAACCCCCAACTTGTATAATTTATTTTTCAAAGTCACGACTCTCAATTTTAATTATAAATTACGACCATTCGAAAAATGTTAAATATATGTGACCAAAAATATGAGCAAAATTAGTTCCAAATCATCAAGTAGCAATACAACAGTTCCAAACGAAGCAAAAGTAATAGTCTCAAAGCGCATAAATTGTTTGAATGTCAAATTCAAAAATATAATGATAAAACGTCAATTTACTAGCTCATGCCATCATGTCATGAAGAAGACTGCTCCGGCTTTCAACTGGACATCCAAGTCGACATAGCTTCATAAAAGCCCCACAAAAGCGGTTCAGAGAAGTGCACAAAGGAAAATCCAGAGAACATGACTTTATGACTAGCAAAAGTTCCCACGAATACCAATCCCAAAGTGAAAAAAAACACTGAGCAAGCGTATTTATATAAATCCTTACAAGTTACAATACCTAGTTTCACTATCTTAAAATTCAGGCAAGCATTAGGTACACCAAAACGAAAAAGGGCAATTACGCTATCTCAGAGCTACATCAAAATGAAAAAGGAGAAACCTGGTGGAGAAGGAGAACAGTCTGCTGGAGCCGCGGGAGTGAAGGAGAACCGTCAGGCTCTTTGTTGCGGAAGAAATAATGGAGGACGTTGGGAAGGAATAGATTTGGCAAAAGTTGTCCAACCCTTCATGACACTCCAATTTGGAGTGTTAAAAAAATGATAAATATAGGTGTTAGGAAGGTTATTGATAACACCCCTAAACACTTATTAACACTTCTGGATTTTTTTTATTTTCCTCCCAAACAGGTGTTAAACTAAACACTCCTCAATACTTCCATTACTAACATCCGCCAACACTCAATCCAAACAGGCCGTAAGGGTATAATAGGGTTATTTAAATGTGTCTGGTTAGTAAAAAGGAGCTGTGGAACAGACAACTCATTTTCGAACAGACAACTTGTCTGTGAGGGACAAACAAGTGTACAAAACTTGTGTACAAATTTTGTGTACACCTAGCTCCACCCGTATATAGAATTTCCCAATAAAGGATGTTTCTACTTAGATTGAAATTTGTTGATCTGATTTAATAAGATCTGATCTGACATGTTTAATTCTGGTTTAGTCTGCTTTGATATGAACCGGTCTGGTCTGGTAGATGTTTGGTCTCTATGTATTTTATAGTGGAAATTACTCATACGGTCCACTTTGGTGTGCCATATACTCTCTTCGTTTGTTTGCTACACTTTCCTTTTTGGGATGTGTTTAAAAATTTGCTACACTCCCATTTTTGGTAAGTTTAACTTTTTATAAAATATTCAACTACCCTTACTTTTTCTACTTTTAATCTTCTCTTTCGTATTTTTACACACTCTCACCTACTTTTTCTACACTATTCATTACACCTGCTATTTTATTCCTTAAATAATGTGTCAAACCTAATGTAGTAAACAAAAAAAATACGGAGGAAGTATCATTTATGGCTCGACAATTTTTTCTATTCATTTTAATCTTTTGTATTTTCAATTATGTTTTCTTATTTCAGTTATAGACTGAAATTCTACCCACCTCCTCCAAGAATTCGTATACGATACACCCGGTTGTATGGGTGGGAACCGTACATTCAGGTATTTTTGTGATTTTGCCAAACTTTCCGTCTAATTTAATTAGCTTTTGTTAGTCCCTTGTCTTGTCTAGCGTGTGTCTGCTACCTGCATATCCGGATTTCACAGCTTTCACCGCAGCCCATGACCCGTGATTTTGATCACATTCTTTTCTTTTGTTTTTTATATATTTATAATTTATAATTATACACTATTAAATTGACTCTTACAAGTTTTGAATAAATTATTTAATAAATTATCAATTATTATATCTATAAGAATTATAAAAAAATCATCAACAATTTTATATTCCATGATACACTATTCAAGACTTAAACTTTATTTTGTTACTTTCATAATGTTAATCAATTCACATTTATGTACATTATGTTCATATTAGTATATAAAAAACTCATTTCAATAGTCCATACGTAGTAGTGCTCATATTAAAACGTTATGGCAGTTTTAGTGAACATGAATTATATTCTATTGAGTATTAGAAGTCTAATAATGAGCATCACGATATCTGCTTCATGTGTTCTAATTAACTTTCTTTTTCTTATTTTTTCTATTATAATCATTTTCTATGAACTTCAATATTTAAATCTAATGTAATATTGTACTTTTGAAATATGCATTGATATGACATTTTTAAAAGGGAAAAGAGGCAAATAAGCCCTCGAACTAACTAAAAAAGTGCAAATCACCCCTTATATTGTAGGCTCTGTCTGGCCGTCGCCATTTGGGGAGGTTCCTGGTAGAATTTTTTGATGAAATATTTTGAGCAATCTTCTTCATTAAGTCTAATTTACCCATACCAATTTCCACATAAAAAATCAATCTGGAAGGCAATCAAATGAATTTTTGAAGATAACTGTGCAGTTAAACAACGCAGTACATTTCAGAAAATCATTTGACTGTCTCCCCGGTTTAATTTTTAGCTGAAGTTTGATATGGGTAAATTAGACTTAATGAAAAAGATGCTCAAAAACTTTCATCAAAAAATTCTACCGGGAACCGCCCCAAATGGCGACGGCCGGACAGAACCTCATATATAAGGGGTGATTTGCACTTTTTTTTGTTAGTTCGAGGGCTTATTTGCTACTTTTCCCTTTTTAAAATGAGCATAACATGGGTACCAATTGAGTACACGCAACTTACAAAATGAGCAATGATATAAAAATCATACTTTTTTGTTGAGCATCAAAACATTTTTATTGAGTATCAAACAACTTCTATTGAATATTACAAACATGCAATTGAGTATCATGGTTTGTGCTCCGGTATCTATAATCAACTCCTACGTGAATCTAATGTAATATGCTACTTTTTAAATATGTATTGATATAACATTTTAAAATGAGCATAACATCAGTACAAAATGACTATACATTACTTACCAAATGAAGAATGATATGAAAATCATAAGTTTTGATAGTTGAGCACCAAGACATTTTTAATCACTAGTAAAAAAATGGCTTATAGTGACACTAAATTAGTGTCACTAAACGATTTAATGACACACTGAAAGTGTCATAGAAAAGCGGGGCAAGTGACACAAAATTTAGTGTCACTGATTGCTAAACAGATTAGTGTCACAAAAGTATGACAATAAAATATCACATAAAATTATGACATTATAATATCATAACTTTTTTTGACACTCTGGTATCATAAAGATATATGATACATTAGTATCATAAGTATGTATGTATGTGTGTGTATATATATATATATAGGGTAAGGTTCAAGTGAGAAGAACCCTTTGAGTGAGAAATGAGAATGAATCTCAACCATTGGATTCGACTAAGTTGCAGTAAAAGACACTTCATGATGCACTGAAATATGCAATCTAACACGGTGGCATTTCTGTAAATACTTCTGAAAAATCTGTATTACATGTGTCTAGTGCAACATGAAGCTATTTCGATGCAACGCCGTCAAATATTAGTGCAACATGAAACAGTTTTAGTGCAACATGTGCAAAATTTAAATATTACTGCAACATAAAGCCAATTTTAGTGCAACTTCGTAAATCCAATGGCTGAGATTCATTCTCATTTCTCACATTAGATGCACTTCTCACCTGAACCAAAATCTATATATATATATATATATATTTATATACATATACCTCGTATATATTTATATATATATGTGTGTGTAATATAATTTAATACTAATAAATAACCAAAAATCAAATATTTTTATTTATATCTCAATTTCTCACATAAATGTGAATGTACATACTACATAATTCATGGGGGCACACCCCGAAACAACAACTAATATACAAGAACAAAACGCTAACAAGTCTAACTTTTACACCACATTTTCTAGGGCCTTCACATATCTTCTTTTGCAGTCTTGCACAGAATGAAACCTTTGCTTCAATCTTTGCCAACTCCATCAGAATCACACATAACCTGAAACATTAATAGAACAACATAGATAGAAATAAAATCGTTAAGGTATTGAATATGCCAAAATTGGTCTAAATAAGCATACCATGATTATTTTTCTCACGTGAAAGTGAGAATAGATGTGGCAAAAATATAGACTTAATGAGTAAAGTAAGAACTAAGGATACAAACCTTGATCCAGGGTCAGTGATTTCCTTTGCTTCAATCTTTTATTCGTACCTCTTCAACCTGCATAATGTGTTCATAACTTCACATTACACTTATTGAAATGAAACCACTGTCAATTTGAACACAATTGATGACAAAGAACAAAACAGAACTATCAACTTTTTTGAAAATTTTCAACTTTCTGATCTAGAGTATCTTTTAATTCTTACACTTTATCTATACTATTCATTCCTTACTATTTCACTCTTAAACTTGTGCAAAAATCTAATGTTACAAACATTTAAAGGTAAATAAAATAGGAAGAGAAAAAAAGTAGTAAGTATTTACCACAGTGGACTTAGATCTGCACCTGTAGTTCCTTAACATTCACACATTGTTTAAGATTCAGTTTGACTTAAAAAGGTAAAGTTTACAATTGATAGTAAGAAAGCAAGTACACTTCGCAATCGTAAATTGAAAACTCAAAAAATTGCAAATAAGCAAAACGGTATTAAGAAGAACACGGGCATTTTTGGGAAGCACTGCGAAAGATAAAAAATCAGAACTAAAACTTAACCTTTTGAGGGTTTTTTCCCACCACTTTTGTGTCTCCGTTTTCGTCAAACTATCCATCTTTTCTCTTCGCTTTTCTTTCACTCTTCTGCTCTGTGGCCCATTTGACCACATAGAAAACATTTGTCTTCCTGGCCAGGAGGGAATATAACTTGGAAAGGTGAATGAAATTTAAATCAGTCCATCAAGCAAAAGAGAACAGTAACCCAAAATTCAACTGTGGGCAGCAAGCAGAATTGCTATAAATCAGCAAACCAAATAATCCACCTGGGATTACACAACTACCCATAATCAAAACTAGCATGCATCACTAGCTATCCAGCCAACCCGGAAGTAAAATCAATCACCCAACAATCAAAAATTAACCAAACCAGCAACTAAAAATCAATTACAGTAGTAGGATAAATACGGAGAAGGATCTTATATACTGCCACCTTGATTTTAGCGAGCACATTCCGGGGCTGGAAAAGGACATGATCAAAGTAAGATGAATTTGTTCAGAATTAATGAAATGGGCTTTGGAAGGATGTTGTTCAGAATTTCAAAAGGACTAATGATTAAAAAAGTGCAGAATTCTTGAACCTTATGAGTGGGAAGAGAACAACCTTTCAATATATGTTTGAGTAGCAATATCTTCCCCACCAATATATGTTTGAGAACAACCTAATATATGTTTTAATTAGGGTCAATTAACTATTATTGTTATAATAGTCAATTAACAAACTGCAAATTTTGGCATTGGTTGGGATTAAAATAATCTGAAGTACCTTTATTCGCTCACTCTCCTCCTGATAATATCGCTCCTTTGGTATGTAGATACCATTCTTTTCACGAGCAGCATAAACCTCTACAAAGAAACAATACAATAAAAAGGATAACAATTACTTGAGCAATAATTTTAAGTAGAAAATAAATAAATATTCTTAATACGATGTACTGGTATTACCTGATTTAAGCCGCTCAATTTCCCCATAAAAATCCTTGATAAGAGTTGACTTCATCATTTTTTGGTTTACCTACAAAGGAAACATAAAAAGACACAAAGAACTGAACAATCTGGCTAGTAGATACTACATAGTAATCAATACTATATGAAGCTATTTTTTTGGGGGTGGATAAAAGGTGGGGATAAACATTAAACACAAAAAACATAGTATCAACTTAATCATTGTACGTCTATAGATTAATTAACCAACAATCTAGCTTAAAGTTAAGATCAACTTTTCTTCTCATAGTTTTCAGCATATAATGTATAAAAAATACTCATGTTTTTATTTTTTAGTGAGAGGGCTGCAATACTGTGGTAGCACAAAAAACAGGTTTTATAGATGAAAATGTTCAACGTAGACAGGACATGGACATAATATGCATATTTCAAACCTCAGGCTTATTCTTTATATTTTTGGCCCTGTGAGCATAATCCAGAGTGCTCAGGGTCTCTTCAAGACAATGATCAGAAGGTGACTCTGTAACAATAATGCATGTCTTTGTTCTCCCTCCAAGTGAATCTCAGAGTAGTCTCGTCAGCTTGCTGTCCCTGTAGGGAACATGCCCCAAGTGTTCCACGAGAGCACTCTTCCTAGTGTAAGTAGGCTTTTATTTATCTCTCCAGCTTCTCTTGCACGACCCTGATTCATCCAGAAAATACATTACATGTTACTAGAAGGAATGGAGAGAATACTAATAGGAAGTGGCGAAAAGATTAATAGAAATAAATACAACTTAAAGATTAATAATACACCTTTTAAAGCCTTAAGCACTTTACCTCCCTAGCACCAGAGCATGAAATGTTCTCTGACCCAGCCAAATCAACTAAATTCAAAAAGTGGCTTTACATAAAGTGGCTTCTTTATTAGTAGGGTAGTATAAAAAAAAGTAACCCAAATGCTTGCCAAGAGAATCAGTGTGTCCGGCAATACAAATTGATTGGCAGAGACTTCCCAGTAGAAATTCAAAATACTATAAACAAACCAAAATAGCTGGGAAATAAGTGAATAACACAAATTACCTTTTGAAAATGTAGTTTGACAGCCATTCCAGGTAGTGAAACATAATAGGTCATCTATATATTTATCTTCCATATGGTCCTCAACTTCAGTAGACAAAACTATCAGCATTTCAGGAATGGAGTAGTTTAAAAGTACTGCCTCATCTGTCGCAACAAACTTTATAATCAGCAAAAAAAAGCATCAGATGTTTTGTCAAAACTCTACATAACGGTGACTTTTAAAAATTCAATACAAAACTACATCCCCGAATTAAAGGTGCACAAGGTATACCGAATGCATAACATGTCTACCCGTTGAAAAATCACACCCCTGCATATATCACATTATGGAGTTTCTGAGTAATGCCTAACATTGACCAAGATGACTTGAGGAGCTTCAGGATCTCAGCAGCTTCCTGAAATAGATCGAATTAGATAAAGCCATAAATTCGATGTGCGGAGAATAGAATACCGAAATAAAACAAAAATAATATACCTCAATAAGGTGGTCCTCTTCAAGGATGTCAAACAAACTAAAAAGTAGTTTCTCATAAACTTGAATATTCAACTGATGACCAGCACTCCAATAATAATTTTCACCTCAAATGCCATACTTAGGTGGAAGCTCATAGATATCAACTATTCCGTAATTAAAAGTAAACCTTAGGATGGAGTTCACACTTTTCCCTTAAAACCGAATCCAATATAGGGCATCACCCACTAAAAGGTGAAAAAACTAAAAACTGCACACATTAAAAATTAACGTATGAGTTTTAAATTGCACTTCTCCCATTGAGAACAAAACAATGTAAGTTTTTGTTGAAACCTGAAAGAAACGTACTCCATAAACATTCTAACCGAGGATTTAAACACTAAAGAGTGTTTTTAGAAATTCTTGGCCATAAACAACCATAAAAATCCTCATAAACATAGACAACAATATGCATTCAGCAAACAATGTAACTTTCAGATTAAGTTTGAAAAAAAGGTTAAAACCTAAGCAGAAAAATAATCAATCAAAGTAGATATTACATAGCTGATAAAAATTGACGAACCTGCTAACAGAGAAGAGTCCTAGAGAGCCAAAGAGGTGCGGTTAGATGCGAGGCCACAGTCTGGTGGTCGGCCGTGACTTGCTATGATTCACCTTAGCTACTGGACAGGCTCGAGCTGTCGGAATCGTGACCACAAAGCGGACTCCAAGGATACTCGGTTCTCCAACTATCCCGACCACTGCACACTCGATCCCCTGAGCCTCACAGAGTTTGCCAAGTTGATCAGGTCTGTCCATAGCGCGAGAATGAACGAATTGAAGAGGTAGGGTGTTAGAGTACTACAATAGAAGGAATAGGGAACATATTTGGAAAGAGAATCGTTCGAAGTCATAGAGTTCTACGCACACACGAATGGTTCTGGCGGCTAGGGTTCATACGAAGGAAGAGGACGGGTAAAGCTTATTGAGGCTGGTGCTGTTCTTCCCAGACGATGGAGAGTTGTCAGTGGTGTGACAATCGCAGCTGTGAGGGTTATTCGCAAAGAATCGATCGAAGGCCTGCCTTAGGGAGTGTTCATCGTTGTGGTGAAGGAATAGAGATTGGGTGGTTTATTTAGGGTTATTATGTCTCGGTTTCTTGAGTGAAGGAATAGAGAATGATATGGGTGTGGTTTATTTGAATTATTTTATTGGATGGGAAGGAAATTTTATGGACGGAAACATGTTTTACGGAGGGAAATGAAAAGTAAAAATTTTATTTAGGATAAAATCTGATTTTTTTTTTAATATTGTGTCACTATTATGGATTGACGTTTTTATGTCATAAACGTATGACACTTGAGCATCGCTAATACTATATGTCGTCAATGCTTGACACTCTAGAGAAAAGTATCACTGCAAAAGTGTCACTATAAGACAGTTTTCTACTAGTGAATGTACATCAAACCTCTTTTAATGAGAGTATCAGAAGCATACAACTGAGTATCATAAATTCTTCTCCCATGTATACAATATAACTCTTTTGCGAATCTAATATGATACTTTTGAAATATGCATTAATATGACATTTTAAAATGAGCATAAAACTAGTAATGGATGAACGTACAGAGCTTATAAAATAAGCATTGAAAAATTAAAAAGGTTGTTTTAATTCTCTAATGTGTTCAAATGTTATTTGTGCACATATAATTACATTTTAAAAATGTATGGTGCTATGCTCCTTTTAAATTGAGCATTATACCAATATCAAATGAGTATAGATAACTTACAAGATGAGCATGAAAAATTTAAAAGGCTAATTTAAAATTTATAATATGCTCAAATATCAATTTGTGTTTGCTCATATCAGTATAACATAAAGAAACACCAATTTCTTATTTCACACCAAACAATTGTTTAAATTTAATGCACTTTAATTTAAATGATATACTCATGATTATTTAGAAGGTTGGAGCTTTTTAATAGAAGAGTGAGCGAAGTATATGTTTTATTCATTTGCCATTAGATATGAATTTTTGAAAGAATCGCATGCAAAAATTCTTGTAAAAATTTTACATACAACTGAGAAAAGAAATAGGAGTTCAAAATTTGAGAAGCAGACACAAAAGTCATATATAAACACAAAAAACAAAAGCAGAAAAAAGAAAAATTAGAAAACTCAAACTTCAAAATTAAAGGAAAAGAAAAAAAGAAAAACGGAAGCAGAAAAAAGAAAAAAAAAATTAAAATTCGAAAAATTAAAGTTTCAAAATTAAAAGAAGAGTATAAAGAGAAGCAGAAAAAAGACACAGAAAAAAAAAAGAGAAGAAGCTACGAACAAACGATAAGTGAAGAGGAAGAAAAAAAAGAAAAATTAATGAAATGAAAAAAGAAAAATGAAAGAGCTAATGGGAAGAGCAAATCAGAAGAGGAAGGACCGAAGGACCGGAAAGAAAATAAATCAAGCAGATACCATTCTCCTTAATTAGTAGCCTTCCCTTTGCAAGTAATTACAAAAATACATGGTTGTACCTAATCACACGATACCGCCGCGCAGATTATATCGTACAGTCGGGTATTTTTGAAATTAAATTGAACTTTCAGGCTTAGGGCATCCTTATCCATAAATTTTTTTAGAGATCATTGTGATGATGTGGAAGATTATTTTTGAGATTATGATTGAGAAGTTAGGATTATTTATAGAGATTATTTCATAAAAAAATTCTGATATCAAACTCTAAAACTAGATTATTTCCAACTTTTAGGCACCTCTCCCAATTTTCTAGGCATAGTCATTGATTAAGTTGAAGACCTCATGCATGCCATATGATAGTGTACATAGGTATAGTACTATATATATGTAGTAATATAGTTTTTGCATGTAGGGTACGGTGCATGTGAGTGTGTGGGTGCATTTAAGTTAGAGATTTTGAAATTGAGTGTATGTCTCATAAAAAATCTAGGTAAATTAAGATCATGAATAAGGAGAAATTTATTGGTTTAGAGATTATTTGAGATTATCTTATGTAGAGGTGATATGACAATAATAAGCCATGAAAAACCGTAAAGTTGAGCATCATCAAGGTGGATGCTCTTATAGTTACGGTGGCAGCCGGCTGCTTTCTCCGATTCTTCTTCGGTCTGCTTTCTATTAACCGCACGTTCTCTGCTCTGCTTTTTTTAATTTCTCTTTGCTTTTGTTTTTTTCATTTGTACGTTTCTAGGTTAGCCTATTACTTGTTGTTTTCTTTTTTTGCTTTTTCCTTACTTTTTAATTCTAGAGCTTTTTGCTTTAATTTTATTCAATTATTATGAAAACTTATAATATAAACTATTAATACGGTGTCGAGTTTTTTTCTCTTTTTTTTTCAATCATCTTTTTAACATCATTTTTTAATTTGTCCATTATAAATTATTTTTGGTATAAATGTTTTATTTTTCTATTTTTACTTCTAATATAAGTATTTATTAGTTATTAAATATTGTGTGTCAATTACTAACATGAGTTCTGTGTTATATTAAAATGAGTATAGTTTAAACTAAATATGCACAAATAAACATTTGAACACATTAGAGAATTCAAACGAGCTTTTAAATTCTTCGATACTCATTTTGTAAATCATTTATGTTCATCTGGTACTGGTTTTATGCTCATTTTAAAATGTCATATTAATGCATATTTTAAAAATATCTTATTAGATCCACGTAAGAGTTAGATTATATAATGGGAACAGATGTCACGATACTCAATTGCATGTTTTTGATACTCAATAGAGCAAGTTTGATGTTCAATGACAATCTCTTGATGCTCAACTAACAACGCTTACAATTTTGATATCATTGCTCATTTGGTACTAAATTGCATGTATTACACTCATTTTAAAATGTTATATCAATGCATATTTCAAAAGTTGCATATTACATTAAATTCACATATTGGAGTTCATATGAGTTGATTATAGATAATATTTAATAAGTTCTTAAAAAAGAAAAAATAAGAAAAAGAAAGTAAATTCAAATATATAAAGCAGATCACGATATTCATTGTTAGGCTTCCAATGCTCAACAGATCATGTCAGATGGTCATTAAATTGCATGATCCTAATATTCAATAGAGGAGACTTGATGCTCAACTAACAAAACTTATTATTTTCATATCAATGCTCATTTGTACGTTACGTATACTCATTTGGTACTGATGTGCTCATTTTTAAAATGTCATAGCAATGCATATTTCAAAAGTACCATATTATGTTAGATTCGCATATTGAAATTAATAGGAATTGATTATAGATATAATTTAATGAGATTTTATAAAAGAAAAAATAAGAAAAAATAAGTGAATTTAATTATAAAGTTGATATCACAATACTCATTATTTGACTCTTAATGCTCAGTACAATACGTCTGATGTTCATTGAAAGTGTATTAATGCTCATATAACGAAAATCGCGATTTTCACTGAAATTACGAAAATGTCACCGTTTTTTAGTTGTGATATCAGCTTTCTTGTAATAATACGGTGCTCATTATTAGACGCTTAATACTCATTAAAATTGGACTATTGTTCATTAACAGTATACCAATACTCATTTAGCAGAAATCGCGATTTTCAGATTACTTACAAAAATGATACTGAATTATTTTGCTATTTTTCTCTTGGGCCTGTTATTGGGCCGACTGTACGATGCTCACCGTGCAGCCGGTTGTATGATATACCTAGTAGTATAGCTGGGTGAACCCTATATTTTGCCCCTCCTCCAAAGACGCAAAGCAAATTATTGATTACCGTTTCTCCTCGCACCCGTGAAACAATTTGGGAAAGCTGCTGGAATCCTAGTTAGTTAAATACGGTACGGGAATTAAACGGGGTTTAATACGTACGCATTTTATTAGGTAATTTTAAATAAAAAACGGTCAAAATTCGTTGAAAAAAATGTTGACTTTTAAAAAACGGGTAAATATGTATACGTGTATAATACGGTATCTGCTACAAAAATTCCGACAAAAAATACGGGGTATTATTTTGAACATTTAAATTATATACTTCACAAAATAACATATGTATTAAAAAGAAATTAAGTATACACATATTCAAGTAGCAAATCTCATTACTAAATAAAAGAAGTATTCATTATTGCATAACTCGATGACAAAAATAAAATAGTAATTAAGTCTAAGACATAATTTTGCAAACAAATGTCAACAAATAAGACATAATAACTGTCACGCCCCAGACCGCAATCCAAGCGCGTGTACAACCGCCGTATAATTAAGTGACGTCACCCGCGAGTCAACCTCACTTAATTACACAAGGCGTTTGAGAAAACAATCCATCCATACTCAGTAGTAAACATACATAACAATATCACATTTAAACCAATGAATAGCGGAAATATTCAACGGTAAGTCATAAGCCACAACCGGCCAATAACATGGGCATGCAAGCCCAAAAATGGTTTATAACAAATAAAAATATCCATGAGCAATGTTTGGTACTTTGAAATAAAATGAGGAAGCACGAACCACGTCTTCCTTGATTTGATGTCACCCGTAGAAAGGTGCAGGTAGCAAGCCCTAACTTCAACCTGAAAATGGTGGGCCCCCCCGAAGGGGTCAGTACAAGTACCGAGCGAGTAGCAGGCTAAGTATAGAATAACTAGCGTTTCAAGTATAAGACCCAAACATAGGGTGATACATATACGTATAGTCCTTTCCCCAAGTTTGAAATACATATTTGTATACATACACTTGGAAATACCCGACCCGTAGGTCATTGTTTATTTGGGAAAATAATAGTAGCCAATATCCTTGACTTAAATCCCAACCCACCCATATACCTATGAGTGTATAGAACTCCTCCTTGTTCAAATAATAAATCATAAGGACACCGCCCGGTCCTAGATCATTAAATGTAATCTATGAGTTTTGAGGATACACGCCCGATCCTTGGGTACTCCACCCTATAATTGAGTTTTGAGGATAACCGCCCGATCCTTGGGTACTCCACCCTATATAACCGAGTTTTGAGGATAACCGCCCGATCCTTGGGTACTCCACCCTATATAACCGAGTTTTGAGGATAACCGCCCGATCCTTGGGTACTCCACCCTATATAACCGAGTTTTGAGGATAACCGCCCGATCCTTGGGTACTCCACCCTATATAACCGAGTTTTGAGGA